TGTGTCCTCACATGGTCTTTCCTCTGTTGGAACATACCCCAGGTGTCTCATCCTTTTCTTTTAAGGACACCAATTAGATTGAATTAGGGCCCACACTAACGTCCTCATTTAAATTGAATCACCACTGTAAAAGCCCTATCCACAAATACAATCACACTCTCAGGCACAGGGAGTGAGGGTTTTAACGTATGAATTTGGGGGAGACACAATTCAACCGATATAACTATCAGTAATTATTGAATAGCAGTTAATTTAGTATTGTATTCCCACGTAAATACTTGCTATGCAAATATCTGTGTTGTCAATTTTGGGCAGAGCCATATGCTTGATGTTAGCTTACAAAGATGGAATGTCTAACAAGAACACATGCTTTAATAAATGATCACAATGCTGTAAAGGTGACCTAATGATGTATCTGCGGACAGAGCCAAGATTCTTCCGGAAGTAATTTGGGGCCTGCTCTAATGCACAGATAATTAGATAATCCAGTGCCCAAATGTTGTGCCTAATTATAGAGCTAAATTGAAAAAAAATTAGCCTAGAAAAATGTTTAAATTATGCATGGCCAAATGCTCATTTCAATCATAAAACACTCTTAATAAAGTAGAAATAAGATATTTATCTCTGAACTTCCTGTTGCTAAGGGAAAGCGGTGTGAAATACATTTGCAGAAAGTATTGAGTGTATGTGCTTTCTAGGGCTGCTAACAGTAGGCCCATTAAATGGATACTTTTATTTTGCTGTAGTTAATATTTCCTTAGAAAAAAGATGTTAACAGGCAGGTAATTTATTAAACCTATTCTCCAGTTACTAAAATTAAAATTGGCTTTTTATTTTTTTTCTGGAATATTCACCTCTTCCTGTTCTTTACAGCCTGCCACCCAAAAGTGCTTTCAAGCCAAGAATACAAATCCATTGGAAGTTAACAAGTTAAATAGTACCTGTAAATTGTCTTCCAGTCCATCAAGTGATGCCTTGAATCTACCTGATTTTTATGGCAGAATTAAGAAAGAATAGAGAAGTAACAAAATGGATTTGATTTATAATACTCTCGAGCATTTTCTTCTTTTTTACCCTAATCTGATATTTTATCTACCTATGTGAAGAACATTCTACTAATACTGATTATTTGCCTAAAACAGAATAGAATTTCATTTTATTTACCTTTGACATTTTAACTTCCAACTTATTCCCAGAAAAATTTAAAGAAACTTATTTCGGTTCATTTGTTTGTTTTCTGAAAACTAAATACAAGTAACAAAATATTTAAACACTGTACTAGCTAATGATGACAAAGATATTTAAATGATTTTATGTTTGAGAGACATTTTTGTTTTTATTGGAATGGTATTTTTGGTAGGGATTAAATTTCATTTCCAATTCTTCTAACATTTTGTGGCAAGTGTTGTAAATTGGCTATATAAAGTACCACTAAAAAAAAAAAAA